TCTTGACTTGGAGTATGCAGACGACATTGTCCTCATCTGCGACAGCTCCCAGACGTGTCAAGCCGCGCTGGACAGATTAGCAATGGCTGTCATTCGCTTCGGACTTTGTTTTGCACCACCGAAGTGAAAAGCGTTCCTCCAAGATTGGCAGGGATCGCCTCCTGCGCTGAACCTTGGTGGGGATCAGCTAGAAGTCGTGCGGAAATTCAACTACCTGGGAACTTGTATCAGCACCCTTGGGAGCGAAGACGAGATCATGAACCGTATAGCGAAAGCTCGAAGTGTTTTTGTTAACCTCCGCCACCTATGGCGGCGGCGCGACATTACTCTCGCCCTGAAGGGTAGAGTGTACAATGCAGCGGTATGTTCAACCTTACTGTACGGTTGCGAAACCTGGCCCCTAAGATCGGCGGACATGAAGAGGCTAGTTACGTTCGACCACCGGTACCTTCGCAGTTTGGCTCACATCTGGTGGGAACACCGCGTGAGTAACGAGCGTGTTCGACGCCTTGTTTACGGCCCAGAAAAAGAGAATGAACCGCTCAGCACCGTTGTTTCTCGCACCAGGCTCCGATGGCTGGGCCACGTGTTGCGCATGCCAGCCCACCGACTCCCGCGACGTGCGTTGTTTGCTCACCGGGGATGTGGGTGGAAGAAGAGGAGAGGTGGCCAAGCGATGACTTGGTCCAGGGGAATGAAGTCCCTCACTTCGGAGCTAGCCTCGGTTGGAGCTTCACGGCTCCCTGGTTGGGGTCCAAAAAACGAGGAACACGTTTGGCTGGATACACTTGCTGACGTGGCAAGGAGCCGAGCTCAGTGGCGTTCCTGTTGTGAGTTTCTTTGTCCCTCCCCATCCCTTTTAGCCTCCCCCTCCATCTACGTTCTCATTTCGTAGGGTAAAACATAATACTTTTTTCTTTTTGCCTAGTAGCTGGCTGGTAGCTTACCGGAACGATGCCTATCCGTTGCTGGTAGCTCAGCTGTCATGCAACTGTCGTATTTATTTTTCCTTTATGTATTGTGTGTATATATGTATTTCCTTTATGTATTGCGGTACAATAGCGGAGGTGTTTTACCACCTCTAGCTGACATGTATAATGACGATGAAGATTGGCTCCTTGAAGGCGGTGTTTACAGGAAAACACACGCGGGCTGTATTTGGGGAAACAAGCGCACACAAGGCGGTGGCTGGACCTAGTCCGCTCCACACTAAGCGCATGGAACCACATTTCGAGCCAATCACGACCACAAGGACTGTGCACTCCATCCCCTCCAGCAACGACCAACTGTCTCCTGGAGGCAGTATGGACGCGGTAGTGGGTAATAGAGAGATAGGCACCTTGTCAACATTCACCACAAGCGGAGCCACACCGGAGATGTCAAACAACAGCCGATCACTTGTAGAGACTTTATTAACTAAAATATATCTGTTAAGGCATACGGATATGCCGGCATATCTGTTCGCTAAATAAGCGTTTGAAGTAAGTTGGTTAGCAACGAAACCTGTCGACCCGCAACACCATTTCGAGGGTGTTGCGACGGGAGCGGAATCCACACTGCTCTTCCGCCACGTTAGGTTCCACAGCTGACGAGGCGGTTGAGTAGGATTCCGGCAATCACCTTACCCACACAACTCCGCAACTTGATGCCACGATAATTCGTGCAACATTGCTTGCTCCCTTTACCCTTGTACAGTGGTAGCACAAGGGCATCCTTCAGCTCAGGAGGCACCTACTCCTCAATCCACAAGCGTTGCATCCAGTGATACAGCGCAGTCACCAAAGCGGGTCCGCCGTTTTTCAATACTCCAGGCCGCATCCCGTCGTCCCCAGCACACTTGCCATTTCATAGCTGAGCAAGTGCTCTCTGTGTCTCATCCAGCGTCGGCGTGTCTGCCAGACTCGTTTTCACATCGTGCTGCTTGAGGTCGTTCAATGTAGGCCAATCGATCTCTGAACGGTTGCCAAGAGACAGTCAAAGTGTATTTGCCAGATCTGCATTATGTCTGCAGTCTGTGTGCAGGTATCGCCTGAACTACTACTACTACAACAACTACTACTACTACTACTAATACTAATGCTACTACTATTAATAATACTAATAATAAGGTGTCAGTTGTACGCCGTAACGGGGCTTCGCTGCCGCGCGACCACCACCAGTCGCGCGCGGTTTGTGTATACCGGGAGGACGCCCACCCCTACACGGATTCGAACCGATGACCTTATGATTGCAAACCAAACGTGCAGACCACTCGGCCACCGGCCGACTTCCAGCAACAAGTCCAAGGATAGATTGGTAAGTTATACTTCCTCAGTTTAGCGCAGCGTCGATCGCAGCTGGTTCATATGACGAGTCCAGATCTAAGTTTCCACCATCACTCAGCGGCATATATACAAATCTGAGCAACACAGGTACACACATACAAATTGTTGGCGCCACCCAGTTCCGGATTTGCTCTCACCATGGCAAGCGACAAGACGCCTGCGCCCACAGAGGGACCATGGGTGGCTTGCGCTGCACCACCCACAGCTCCATCCACACACCCCATATCCAATGCAAACCCGAAGGAATAAGACCGGGAGACATGCGCATGGGAGCCACGTTTCATCAACGGAGCCAGCCCATACTCCATTACAGACAAACACAAGCACGCTGTATCTGGGAATCAATCGCACAGAAGGCGGTGGCTGGACCATAGTCCGCTTCACACTGAGTGCATGGAACCACTCTTCGAGCCTAGCACGGCCACGAGGGATATCGAACAATCAACATGGAAGTTGAAGGAAAATAAGCACGAAAAGTAGACACGAAGGACTTGGCAACATATGCGAACTGAGTAAATCAACTAAAGTGGAATATATTTCATCCAAATTAAAACGATCTAGTTTAGATGTAAGTCGATGTACCCGAACGGCTCTGATGGAACGTGATGTATGCAACACCAACCTCAGCATGAGGCAATAAGTAAATACATGTTTACACACCTACATACCTAGGTGCAATAATTCACTCGCAAATACACATTCACTGCCATGGCCAACATGTATTTTTGTACATTTCCCCATCACACGTCTTGTTATCATGATCATGTCTCTGTAGACGTGCCTCACGTTGTAGAGAATAAAATATCTATATATTTGTAAATAACTTTTCTGCGCTTGTTTTTAATCGTGCCGGGTCCATCGGCGATGCACTCTGGTTCACACGAAGGTCATAAATAAATAAATAAAAAGTATGGATCGGGCAAACTTGGCTGCGCTCCTCATTTTGGAGGCCGGTGCTCAAGTCCATGTGTTACTTTTCGTACCCACCCCCACTAACCCTCTCCATCCTGACGACTCTGTCGAAGGCTTCCATCACACAGCCTTTTAGGAGGAGACCCTTGTAGTGCAACTTAAAACACATTCTTGCAGTGTTTGACAACGTTGGGTTTTATTGTTGTTTAAACCTTCCAAACCTTCAGTTGTTTTACTGATTACACATCCGTTTCGACAAAATTGGTCGGATGATTCCCGTACAATACCGTTCTTTGCCCTTGCTAATTCGCTTCCTGTTTTTGTAGCCTGCACAATATATATTTGGTTTAGCTGCTTCCAACTTTTCTACTGTCCCGTATTGGACACGTCTCGTACGCGTCATTATTACCTACTAATATCTCAAGCGCCACGCAACAGCTTTGCTAAACGGTTTTATCGGAACCATCTTGGAAGTCAGGGGAGAGAACGACTTGGATCTTGTAGTTGGAGACGTCATCGACAACTAAGCTCGATAAGATAGGCTAGCAATAAACCAGTAGCAGATCAGAGTTCAGTTTGGATGTCATGTGTATGAGAGCCTTCTCACAGACTGTGGTCTTGTGCTTAGGAACGTCCTCCTGTAACACACAATTGAGTGGGACTCGTAGGTCGTGTAGCCATTTTAGGAAAACACAGTAGTAGCTGCTGAGGCTAAGGAAAGGTCGTTGCTATGAAGTATCCTTTAGATAGCTGACGTTTCGGAAACATGATGACGGCCAATTACATCGAAAATGAACCTTAGGTATTTGGCTGAACAAAGTAACAGGTTTTTCTGCTTTCATGCGGATTCTGTACTCCTGGACAAGTCGAAGGACCGCGACCAAGTGCTGTGGAAATGCCACTAACAAATTAATCGTCAACAGTATGCATTAACGGCCCTTCGCTTCCGCGCGGCCACCAACAGCCACTCATGGACTGAGTAGACCGTGAGGACGCCTCCCTTACACAGATTAGAACCCGTGACCTTATGATTGCATGCCAGGTGCCAGAGCACTCGGTCAGCAGCCACTGCTCGGAAAGAATTGCTCGTGTAGCCGAAGCACCATGTAAGCAATATGGAAGTTCGGTGCCAAGTACTTAGAGCGAACAGCCCGTGTTTCCAAAGCGTTATTTGCCGGACACCGAATAAGTTGATTCAGTCGCGCGTTGCATATACCAGCCTGTTGTTTTCCCTGTGTAGCGTTGAATACGTTTCTCGGAAGAGATTGGAAAAGGTGCTGGGGTTTACCAACAATGAAATATAAACGGAGCAGGAAGAATGCTTTCTCAAATTTAGCATCAGTCGGATCGGTCCACTGTCAACCAAGTACCACGAAACACTGACTCTCACTGGTTACAAAGCTTGGACTTTGTGGCCGGCAACAGACATCAGTTGCGTCAATGTCGTTCCGTTGTTTAGTCTATTAATTATTGCACAATAAAATGGAAAATCCCAAAACGGGGTGCATAAAGTACACAAAAGGTGTTCTTTTTATCTTTGTCCTGTTACTATCTTCCAAGTCTGCCATTACTCTGATGGCACACTTACTATACTAAGGTTATATATATATATATATATATATATATATATATATATATATATATATAGTTTTACCTGAAATTCCCGTACATGACGAAGTTTCGAGTTACTATCTACGCCTATGATATCCACAGTAAAGTTCATAAGTCCCAAGCAGCGGTTACAGGAGTAGCCTAGTCACTCACCTCCTCAAAACATGAATGCTCGCTTCGGCGGTTGTAACGTAGGGAGGCACCACAGTACATGCAGCGCAAGTGCGGAAGCATCGTTCTTCTGCAAACGCTTGGTGGTTTCGCAACAGCAGTATTTCCCTGTCGATTTGTGGGTTGAACTATTTTCATAAATGCTGGCACGCATGTTTCTCGCTCAACAACGTTATTATTGTTCGCCTGTGAAGTGAGAGGTTGCGGATGTACATCTTTGCTTTCCTCGGCATGTGTTTTACGGATCGGAACTTCCAAACAAATATGTTCCTGTGTGAGGAAATGGGCGTGGAGGTCGACCACTGTGGTAAACCCGTGGTGGCAAAAGTAACACACGTATCCATCGTCATTACGAGAATCATAATGCCGTAGGTGTCCCACCTCCATAGTTTCCAATTCTGACTGCATTGACTGAATTTGTGGTTTCGCAGTTCCTCTAAATGGGCTGTCGCTGTGCTCTCGGACCTTCGCAGAATGAGTGTGTTCCACACTTCGTTTGCCTAGAGGAGTGCGGTTTTCAGCTAAGTTCCAAGTGTTTGCTAACTCTAAACTTTTAATCATTGTCTCAACGCGTTCCAAAGCGGCCACCTGAAAATTGGCGGAAGGTGGGGCTGAAATCATCTCATCCAACCCTACATCATGTAGTAGCAAATTTTTAAATAACTTTTGCAACAGGGCCCTTTCATCCATTTGTATCGGCAGTCGTTTAAGTCGCCTCCTAACGTGTGCAATGGCGTCGTTTATTTCTAATTTATTCGGCATAATCACCACCTGCTTCTTGCGTTTATCATTGTTGGATACATGTGTGGTATTTGCAGTAAGTCGATTCCTTGTCATTGCGTAAAGCGGTAGACTCAGTGGATTAATTTTATCCACAGCTGACCTTGCACCGCAGGCTACGTAATCTCCACGAGTAAAATCGTAGCCGGAAGCAAGTGGCGAAGCTTTCATGTTTACTAGTAACCTCTTTGTGGAGGAAGAGAACGTCTTAGCTTCAGTTCAGTGGATCTTTACGTATTCTGTTCAAAAATAACCAATCAACGATCAATAGAACTGAGGACTGTCACATGATAAAACGAAATTCCCGAATGCCACTGGCTATTGTTTATGAAGATGACAGTCGCTGCACCATGAAGCGAAAAGCATAGTGATTTGCAACCAATTATGTTACCCATGTTTTGATCCGACTGAAAACCACAGTACGATCGTCCAGTCACGGAGTCGACTGAGTGTTTGTTCGTTGTATCGGTGTATGCTCCAGAATCCAGCACTGATTCCGTTGATTGGTTCAACTGTCAGCCCCCAGAACTTCTCCGTAAATTCCGCCTCATAAATATCGTGGTGCCTGCTGGAGATTTAAAGCACCCAATCGGCAGACTTGAAGTTGATGATTATTATATACTTATTCAGCACTTGACCAATGTATAATTGTCGGTGCCACAACACATAGTTAACAACAAAAAAGGGGAAAAGAGGGTCGTCAGTGAAAGGATTTGGAAAGTTTAGAAAGTTAATGTGTTGTGTGGGCAGAGATCTTCCCGGTTGCCCAGGTCGAGGAGGAAGGTTGAATTAATGGACCCCAACCCGAGCCTTTGGTTTAAGACCTAACCCGCTAGGCAGCAAGGCGATTAAGGTAGATCATTGACATCCTGGTGGCTCCTTCGCCTTCTTTGTGTCCAGTAGCAGTCCACAGAGAAGCCGGTGACCAGCAAGGTTGTTCATCCGTTCTCCGTTACATACTCACCTCTGGTTACAGAAGTGACCCTATGGCCAGTCACATTGGCTTTGACACAGCGCCGTACGAGCTCTTGTGATATTTCATGGGGAAACAGACGACCAACGCAGAACTCTCCACGCACTGAGACGCTGCCGCTGATTGTCCGCGAATGCTTAATCATCTCGTCTGCAAGGCAAATGAGACTTATTCGCAGTTCCCTCCACAAGGAAGGCATTCCCCAATCCGCAACCTGGAGACGCGACCGATAGCGTACAGATCCGCCACGTAAACTCACTTATCAACACGGCCATGATACTCGCAGTACAGACAGCAGCGATCGCCAAGTTAAACACCAAGCATAGTCCATTTATTCCGATTATGAGCCTTCGGCAATCTTGGCACCAATGCGCTACCTGGAGACCCTATCCCCTGGTTAATTGTAAACACTAATTTCCGACATCGTCATCAGTTATTGCGGGCGGGAAAGCATACATAATTACAAATCAATCTAAAGTACTTACCGCACTTCGAATCACACGTCTGTGATTGCCAAGGTCGCGCAAGATTTTGATGACTCCGAACAGTGCCGCAGGAAACGTCTGGACGTGGATATGCTTACTGCCCCAAACATTCTGAGCGCCATTTTATGTGAGTTTTCTTCCTTAAACCTCAGGTGTGCCTTATGCTAATACATTGAGATGTACTTGTCGCACATCCGCAGGACTATTCCCTATTGCGCGACCTTGGTCTGTGGTTTCAGTAGTAATGTTGTTAACCCCTGGTTCTCTGGACAACCTTTCCAGATGATTGAAACCGGTCGATTAATTGGTGCTGGCGTTCAGTATCATTCACTACGCAGCGCTAATAACGCTGGGCTCAAGCAGCTTCTTACAGAGGAACACGAGGATTGATAGACGCAGCAGGTCGGAGAGATGGAGCAAGCAGCCACCCCAATGAATTTCTGTAAGCAATTCCTCTTGATCCGGTACACTGGCGGTACAAAGCCATCTGTAACCAAATTTTGTGCAGAACCCATAGCGAGCCACTCAATCGTCCTCAAGGTCGACTTATGCGTTGTCTTGAGGACTTCGAATGCCAGTTTGACTGGCCTGCAGTGCCGATGAGCTGTCATTCGGAAATCCGCAGGGCTGCGTGGTGTCTAGACGCTTCACCATCATCTGAGGCTGAGGTTGCCTGTGAGTTTCGTCTTCTAACGCGCTGCGCACTCATTGGCCAGACCAACTCCCTTCGACTCTGCTCAAGGAGGGATTTGCATCGCTTGTAGACTAAGTGAATTCCATCCTCCAAGGGAACCGTCCAACTGAAGATCGGCGAGTGACGCATGCTTGTTCAAAAGGGGTGCTCGGACAGACTGCGTTGCGTTCAAAGCGCTAGCCGCCTTACTTTTAGGGAGACAGCTTGGTACGCGAACAGAACATACATGAAGGGCAAACAGGGCTCGGTGCAGGTCCGAGCTGTATCGATCCCAGCTTTATCCGCAGCCAGGTACTTGAGTGTCGTCAAAAATACGACGGATAACAATTTTTGTCTTCTTGGACATCCGATCCGCATTTAACTCAGCTAACCAAGTCGTTTTCTGGAGTCTGTTGACAAGGAGAATGCAGGAGAAGCATTTTAGCCTTTTTCTAGCCACTTACTTTCGAACCTCGGGCCAAGTGCAGGTGTATGGCGGACGTTCATCTTTTTCAATAACACCATTGGTGTGAGACGGGGTTTTCCAGCATCGCACTTCCTCTTCAACTTCGCTACGGACAACGTCCTGGTGAGTGCTTTGGACAGTTGCGAACCCGGTGACGTTGAGCTACTTCCGGGGGACGGACTTCGCGACTTGGAGTATTCAGACAATATCGCCGTAATTTGCAGTTCATCACAAGCCGCCTAAAATGTGCTGTGTAGGTTGGAGATGTCTGTTTCCCAGTTCGGAATGGTCATTAACCCACTTAAGTTTTAGGTTTTTCTGTAGCGCTGGCTAGGAGCCACTACTACCCTCACCGTTTCCGGTTAGTTTTTGGCAATTGTATTAATGCATTTAGTTACATCGGTAGCTGCATTACTACCAATGGGTTAACGGATGGGTTCTTTGAGTGTCTCTAAACCTCAGCTTACTTTTTTGGTCATAACCACTGGCATTGATGAAACCTAAGTCTCTACCCGAAGTGCCGAGTTAGGCTTTCCTGCTCTAAGGTTGCCAGACTTGACATGTTCGTGCAAAAGACGTTCAGCGGTTGCATTTTGGATCACCGCTACCTTCGGAGCATTCTTGATCTACGATAGCAGCATCTCATTGATAATGAGGATGTGCATCGAAAGGTTTTCAGATCAAACATACTTTGCCTGCTGCTGAGCTACATACTTTCACTGCAAAGGTTTCGGTGGCTTGGGCACGTGCTTCGCATGCCTACTGAGCGTTTGCCACACAGTGCATTACTTGCGCGTACAGAAGTTGGCTGGAGTCGAAATCGAGGTGGACAACCAATGACTTAGGCCAAAGTGTGAAGGCGATAACGTCGAAATCGACTATGGTCTGATGCTCCCGTTTCCCGGGCTGGAGACTCAGGGACCACGAACCCTCCTGGGTAACGGTTCTCTCGGACGCGGCAAGATCTAGTATTGACTAACGAAGCTCATGCGAAACCTACGTGCTTCAGCAGCGAACCGATTCAGCCTGGGTTGCATATTGTAAGGCTCTTCATCAACTAAAAAGCTCTCACCGGGTAGCAGCTCTAGGGCAAACTTTTGGGAACCTTCTAGAACTGTCGAAGGGACAATTTTGATTACAAGCTTGAAGAGGAGCGAGGACATAGAGCAGTCTTGTCGCACACTGTCATTGACAGAGAAAGTTGAGGAAAGCTTTCCGTAGACCATCACTCTGTCTGAGATATGAAGGTAAAATGCACGTAGCAGGGCTGTAAACTTCGCTGGCGCCCATTTTCTTCAGTAAGCGAAGCCATAAAGCAAGTCGATCAACCGAGTCAAATGCAGCCGGTATGCCTGGGAAGTCGTCGATAGTGGGTCAATGGTAGTAGTAGCGATGTTCGAAGATTTGGCGGTGTGCGAATTTGATCCCCGCATCCAGGGCTGGGATGCAAACCAGATTTTCCCTCATGATTGTATGATTCACTCATTGTGGATAGGCTGCGAAGCGGTATGGATACCAATAGCATGGACACAACTGAAATGAGACTAATCTCTCAATGACTGACCCATAAATTTCGAGCGCCTTTCTTGAAAATCCGGACATTATCTGATTCACCCCAAGAAGAAGATGATGCAGTCATTGGTCGTTCCTATTCCATCCACTGCTATTCAGACACAGCCTGCTGGTTAGGAGCTTGTGTGCCCATGTGCGTATGTGTTTGTGCGACAACCAATCACTGTCCGCAGTTAATTCGCTTCGAACTGGTACTCGTTCTCACGCTCATGGGACTATCGTGGCGGACAGTGTTTACGTGCTGATATGTGCAGAGTACACTGTAACGTTCCAGGCTTTCTACTGATTTTTTCTACTACCATACTGCTGTGCTGATTTCGTTTTAGTGTAACAGATTGGCGACAAAGGTTATCGGATTACTGATGGCAAATTTGATTGCGGCACCCCCACCCGTTTTGGAATTCCCCTACTGAAGGACCTACTACCCAGCAATGGAAACAGCGGAAAAATACTTTCTTTACTTACGTTGATCTACTTTTGCTCAATGGTGACAACAACACGCTGGAGGATACAACAAGTAGCATTTCGAATACGCAATTCAAGCCTGGCATCCATGGCTGAAACACGACCTTAATGCACTAGAGCAACCACAACGTCGGGCAACTAAGGACATAATTGGAATGCGCAATCTTTCCTACCAGGAGAGGCTGCAACGGTTGGGGGTATCCAGTGGAAGCTTTCGCAGACTACGAGGTGACCTGATTATGGCATACTTGATTCTGCGAGACCTACATCATTTGTGCCGCCTTTTACTACAACTCAGCAGCAATACAAACCTGAGGGGCCACTCATTAAAACTCGCAGAACAATACAGTCGTCTGGAGTGCCGCAGAAATTTCTTTTCCATTCGTGTCTGTCACCCGTGGAATGCTCTCCCAGAATCGGTCGTCTCTGCACCGACACTAACAATATTTAAAAGACGCTTGGACGGTGCATTCATCCACTTACCGTTTGTCACTTCACACTACGTCTCCATCCTACACCTGGAATATACCATGGAATTATTTGTTGTTAACTGTGGGTGTTGTGAATCTAACAGGATCGCAGGACTACAGCGGAGCAAACGACAAGC